TTCAACTCATGAAAATATTCGCACTATTGAACTCATAACCATTCATTGTATACTAAAGCATGAGCGTGTTGTGATCAATTGGATGTCATTAACCAATATAATTGATATCCAATTTGTTTAGAATAAAATCAAAATCTAAGTTGTTGGAAATGTCGTTGAAAAATTGTTTTTTTTTTTTTACAATGTCATGTTTAGCGTATACATGTATTTTAAAGGGTACTGGTATATGCTACCTTAATGATTTTCTTTCCTGACCCAATGGATCTATTGAATATCATGTGACCAACAATCCTCCAATCAAATGACAAGAATCCACTTAGGTGTTGTATAAAGAGTGTTATTCTTGGAAACCATAATGCCGTTCTGATCTGGTTTCTCAACTAGACCAGGATGAAAGTCAACTACATGAGACCGCACAACCAATATAGAGTCAGCTCGTGAGCAACACTGAGCGATGAGGAGTTAGACCAAGCGCTGGTGTAAGATATCTGCCGTGTCAATTTTTTTCTATTTGAGAGGCGAACATAATATTTGCAAAGATGCCACAAATCATTCCAATTTATCATCCACTTTGGGCGGTTATAATTACGGTCTTTGTTTCTTGGTGTACATCTGGAGGATCGGGTGGCTTGCCATTGACTTGCACGAGCCCCTGTCAACAAACGGTGAGTTTAGAAAGTCTGTCTTTTGGCATTGTTTGTCTTCACTGAACAGGGACTATAATATGAAGAGGTATGGTAGTGCAATTTCGTAAGATTGAATTTAATTTCTGTCAATGTCAAGGGAGTAGCCTATGAAGTTATCCTGCAGACATTAATGGTTCACATCTGGCCTGGATGATGGTTACAGGTGCAAGAATACATGTTTATTAAGGATGATGTATGAACAATACAATATGGGAATTATAATGTAATATATTTTCGTCAGCAAAGATACCGTGTGGATGTGAAATATTGTTAATGTTTTTTATAAGGTTAATTTTGCTAAAAGATCATAGTAATAATTGCATGATTTCATTATTATTTGTTATGTCTATTGTTTAATATTATTGTGATTATCAATACTAGTATTCATATTATCACTTTCATTATCATTACTACCATTACAATTACTATTATTATTATTGTTATTGTTATCGTTATTGTTACTATTATTGTCACCATCATCATCATATTGTTGTTGTTCTTTTGGTTGGCGTTGTTATCATTGAAGGAACAATAAACAAAACTGGAGTAGATGAATTGAAAAATCATACGGAAGAGTTGTATTTATCATCGGTTGAGAAGCTTTGATATATATGAGCTTTAACTTTTCAAAAGTATGTTTAAAGCGTTTGCTAATTCAGTCATTCACTTTTTAACTTTGCAAAAGGTAACCTAATTAATAACTCTTTTTTGTAGAAGGGACATATGACATGACAGCTCACAAAAGTTCTTATGTCTCACTATCTGCAGCTTTACAGAAACAGTGAATAAACCATTATTTCTTTTAGTATATGTATAATGGACTTTTCACAAGTTCAAATATGGGTTTTTATTACTTCAGTTCTGTTCCTAACCGTCATACAAAAAAGTAACGATTTACATTTTTGCCAATAAGAATATAAATTACTTTTCCAGGTCCCCTTATTTGTATGTATGTATATGTATGCCTAGATTTGTTGTGTGTATGTATGCCTAGATTATTATTTGTTGGTATTAAGAATATATTATTTTAATTAAAAAACAAACTGTTAGAACCTTCGTTCAGATTGATGATTATAACGATACTATAACCAGGCCAGGATATATATGATATCATTAATTATCATGTATCAAAGCCAGATATGTACAAATACAAATAGTCTTTATCACATCATTATTTTGAATGCAATGTCTATAAAATGCTCGAAATATGCCCATATATTATACGTATTTAATGAGAAAATTTAAGCATTAACATTTTTATCTTAATGTTTGGTAGTTGTGCATTTTCACCCTTTAATTGCTTATAACTTAAAACTTGAACCAAAATAAAAGGAATAGATTCAATTTCACCTGTAGCATGTTATATGTTAGATCAAGTGGAAATACTTATATTCAAATATGTACTTCCTGAAACATGAGACTATACAGTGTGTATATCGGTCCTACAAACGTAGTGTGTGGAGTGTTTTTATGAACTTGAAGCGCGAAAATGGTTGAGCTAGTTTCGTATTAATATTATTTTAATGACAATACGTTAGCTTTTAATTCTGACTTTCACTTACGCTGCAAATGGTGTAATATTGCTCTTTTGTCACAAAGAAAAATGTGTACTAGTTCCTACCTAGAAGACAAAACAACAAAAGGGAGCAATATTTCTTAAATTTGGGTGATTAATTTACCAACAGACTTTTGCCACGCTTCCTTTAAATTCTCGAAGTTAGACGGGAAACATTCCCAGTCAAATTTTAGGATGTACTATGGGTTTAAAAAAATTCACACCAGGAAGTGTTTCTTTTGAAATGTATGTCAAATGTATGACAATTAAAGCTCCATGCATGTACACGTCGAGCTCGTGGGAAACCACGTTCAAGTAGAGTAAAGTGTCCATATTGATCTCAACGATGGTTTTCCTGTTTGGCAAAAATGTTTGTACAGCTGCAGAGCCAAGTCAAACCTATTGTGTCCCAAACTTTACAGATTTTAGTATATTTTGGTGATTGTATTAACTTGCAAGGCCTACCAGAGATTTGATCGATCAAATTGAATAAAATGATACTCGATCTGTTGTCAAAGAATAAAATTATATTCATAATATCATGATATTCGGTATCCTATAGTAGGCCTATATAGGACACCTCATGACCAAATATCTGGGACTTACACTCTCAAAAGTATTTATCAAACAATGAATATAGAACTATTCACATTTTAATATGAAAACTCATACGAAGGACACTTCCGAAAATCTGTTCAAAATGAAGAGTTTCTTTTCATATTTGAGAAGATATTTTTGACAGTTTGAATTTGCGTTATTAAAGGTGACTTGAATTCTAATCAAATTGACGAGTTTGGGCTTCAACATTTTTGAATAGCTGTTCTATTAAGAGAAGAAAAAATCTGATGTTTTAACGAGAGTTTGGTCATAATATATGGACAGAAATTTGGTTCCATGTGGTACCTCCACTATAATGTGTTTAAATAGATTCGAGGACCTTAGAATTTCATCAGGGTTTTTTTTTTTATACACATTCATGTCCATGTCTACACTCATAATCACTATATTTATCAAATCAAAATCTCATTCATTCTCGGGAGCGGTGTCAAGTTGTCCTGAATGGCCTTTTCTGATTTTAAATTCCGTCTTTCTGTTGCAGGATTCATCTCGTGTTTCAAGTTCACCTTTTCCACCATGCGTTATTATTCCAGGTAAGTCACGTTAAATACTTCTTTTAGAAATGTACTACATCGTAAATAATATCAATTATCAGTGTTTTAAAAAGAAAAGAAGTACCAGGTCATGAAAATCTGGGCTTAGTAGTTTATTACCAAAATATATTTCTGGTCTCTCAATGTTTCACCGATCCTGTTTGTAAAAACCATTATATAGGCATACTTGTCTCATCACCATTTCCATCCCTTTCCCATCTCTTTTGTTCTGCCACCTTCTCTTTTCTTTACTTTTCCAGCTTTCTTTTTCTTTCCATGTTTTTTCTTCCTCTTTCACATCCCTGTTCCCTCTCTTTCAATCTCTCTCTATTATATTTCCCTCGCTCTCGCCCCCTCTTCATTTAAATTTAATCTTTAATATGCAGGTGGCCATGCTAAAATGATACGTCAATACTTTTAGAATGAGTTAAAGGTATATCAAAACAATCTTCTTGATTAAGAATATTTAGAAATAATGGCCACGTTTGAAGAAACAAAAGTATTTTGCGAAAACGCCCTGATGAACCCAATTTATTACATCTATTTTGACGTAACTATATGGTCAATTTTACGCTCAGAATTTGAGACCCAGATTTCTAAACTTACTGACAGATAAAAATCAAGTTCTATACAATAAGCAGACATCTGTTAAACCAGAATTTTGTTTCTTCTGTAATGACTGTTCAAATGACACCTACATTTCCTGAACAAAATTTTGGATTTCAGCCAACAGCAAACATGATACTAATTAGTGTTAGGAAGAAGTGGGTAGATCATTATTCATGTAGAAGTTCTTTTGAGTATACACTGCATCCCAGAAAAAACGAAACAGAGATTTTTCGATGTGATTTTTCGATGTTTTAACATAACTTAATCACAATTATGATTAATAAATGACACATATTTGTAAAGCTTAGATCCTCTTCTTTCATTTGATGCAACTCATATGATGCATATTTCACGCATGAGTGATTAAAATCAATTTGAAGAGAGGGAACCAAAAGTCATTTGGCGGACGGCATTTGAATTTCAAAGAAGAAAATATATCACATTTCTAAAAAGTTCAGTTTCTGCCCTTTCATATGACATCTCAATCAGGAAAAATGAGCAAGAAATAGCAAAGTTCTGTTTTCTTTTAACACCAATTTGTTGACAATCAGCCATGCATGAAGTCTTTAGTCTATAGCTGATCGTCAACGAAACGGAGTTAAGTCTTTTGTAAATTCCGTTTGTTGCTACGGCAGGCAGCTAGTGGAAACGAATTCGTTTAATAAAATTTTGAACATGCAAGCATTACTTTAAACAAACAGAACTTTGTTATTCCTAGCTCACTTTTCCTGATTGAGGTGTCATATGAAAGGGCAGAAACTGAACATTCTCTTTGGTGATTCTCTCTTTGGATTTTTGGTTCTCTCTCTTCAAATTGATTTTAATCACTCATGCATGAAATATGCACCATCGTAGTTGCATCAAATGGAAGAGAAGGAATTAAGCTCTTCAAATATGTGTCATTTATTGATTATAATTATGATAAATCTTCGATAATTCTCGGTTTCGTTTTTTGGGACGCACTGTATATAAAACAGTTTTCAGGATATAATACTTATAATGTTTGCTTACATTGGCTGTCATCCAACTGGTAATGCCTTCAATCTTTTAAAATTAAGTATTTTTCCTACAAACATATTGTAAACATAAGAAAACATTCCGAGCAATGCTGTCGACAACCGACACAAAGTACAAGTCCACTCCAAAAATAACTTAAAAACTTATGTTATCAATATAAGGAAAATAATAGATAAATATGTAGTTAGTGAGGACATGACGTCACAGACTCATGAGTGAGTTGCCAATTTGTCATGTGATTTTCAAAGTTTTTCATGTCAGTAAGCATTTTCTTATTAGTTTTGCTCAAACTTTTTTTTTTATTGGTTTGTCTGATTTTTCTGCTTATATTGGAAATGAATTATTTTGGAGTGGACTTGCCCTTTAACCGAGTGCCCCATCATCATTGAGTTACTGTACACGTTTCCGTATTTTGTTCAATCATTGAAACTCCTTTTGAGATTGTTCAGTAGAGAAGATGAGCTTTCTTTATAGGTCCGTTACACTCTACCCTTTGCTTTTTCTTTCTAAACAAAATTTTTGTCAGATTTCCTGTTTTTTTTTAAAAATTCATTTTGGTTTGATTTTGATTGGTAGATCGTTGGAATCGGGACACCGTACCTGTAAACCAGGCACCAGGTGGCCCCATCCAGGTTGGTATGGGTTCTTCATCTGTCATAGGACCAGATGGAAAGGTCTACCTGAAGATCATTCCTCAGTGGCGTGCATCACAAGGTGATAATGAGAATAAATTGATGATGATGCTGATGATGATGATAATAATAATGACAATGAACAATAATAATAATGATAATAATAATGATAATAATAATAGTAATATGATTATGAAGAAGAAGAAGAAGAAGAAGAAGAAGAAGAATAGGCAAATATATGGTACTATCTATTTAGAACTTATATTCCAAAGTACACAAGGAAAAATACATTTAGAAGTGAAACTAAAGCCAAACGAGTGTCATATCCTCGTGTAATTGTTCAGAAGATGAAATCAAACTCCATACATGATCTGAAATATACAGCTAAATCTAGTATTGGTAGTGACTAGTCTAAATTACAAACCGAGAATTGTATCTGATATATGCTTCACCAAAAACCTTCCTTTAAAAACTTGACACATATATTCCCAATTTCTTTTTTTCCTAGATCGCATAAGCCTTTTGACTGGATATGAAGTTAAAGTCATGTGCAACAGGAATATTTGTGCTTCACAATATTTCTGTGTCACAGTCTTATTCAACAGAACCTTGACCATCGAGGACACTCGTGTAAGTCATTGCATTTTATCTTCTAAAACATGTTGTTTGTTCTATCGTCAGAAATTTGAATTTGCAAGAAAGGCAATTCTACCCGTATAGTCAATTCAATTCGTTTGTATTTATTTCTATTTTCAATAAAAACAATACAAAGATATATACAATAACATAATCATTTGCAATATATAAGAAATGAAAATAGGGGAGGCTAAAAAAAGGCCCTATTGCCTTGTGGGGGCATAGTTCCCCGAACAGATTTAAGAGATTAACATATACATGTACAAACAAAACTAAAAAAGAAACATACATGACAAAACATGCCAGGAACATCGTTCATGGCAGGTAATACAAATGGAAAAATACATTAAAACATACATATTTGAACTATTAAAAACTAGCACAGTTGGAAGTAAACTATTTTGGTCTTGATCGAACTAAATATGTTGTTAGATTATGCCATTTGTAGCACATGGGCACATTTAAGATTTAGATATCACTGTTCATTGAAATTATGAAACAAGATACGAGGGAATGTTTCAATATACACGTAATCTATGTGTATTTTTTTTTTCTTCTTGCAGTCTAATTTTACGGTGAGTTGTCAGTATGGGAATTTTTCCCAGCCTAGCATGGACTACGTCATCATTATCCGGAGCCTTCCAAGAAGTAATGATGATTCGAACAGAGGGAGTCAGATTGCAGCACTTCCAAGTATGTACTTCACTATTATGGTGTAAATTTGTGATTGCACCCTGACATAGCAAATTGATCCATTTCATTGCAAGGAATACAATAAATGTCTTTTTTTTTAAATCTGAAACAAAACAAGGGTAATTAGTTTTTTTAAACAATATTTTAGCCCCCCCCCCCCCATAGGCTATTTTATTGAGTCAAACAAAACATTTTACAAATCAATAAACTGAAGTCTTTCTTTATATCAAACAAAACAATTAGTTTTAAAAATGGAAAGCACCCCAAAGCACATTCATTTTTGTTCAATTTACTCAAAGTTAGGATCATTATTTTGCGTGCTATGTAATTAATGTTTTCACATATTCGTGCGTTTCGTGCATATGTTTAGATCCATTGGTTGCAATAATTGTTTGAATTTGTATATTTTGAAAGTTGTTTTGCATTTTACGATACGTAAATCTTTTCCAGGTTTTGATTGAACATCAAGAAAATTTGATACTCATATTCAGAGTTGTATTTCTGTTCTCAGGTTGTAAACAAGAACCACAAGTTGCTCTTTGCAATATTGGTAAGTTTGTTTGCTTTTATTTGAGGAATTCATCTATCGTTACTAACTTTGGTGGCAGCGGTAGGATAGTTACGCGTAGGTTTGCTAAAAGTTTTGGTTTCATCTGGTGGCAGGGTTGATAATTTATTACACATACACACAAATCTTTTTCGTACTGAAGTTGTGCGTAGCCTTGGCAGTGGTGGGCTGAGAGACACAAACATGTATTAAAAAAAATGAAATTGGTAATACCGGTTGGATAAATACATTATGTATGTTTCTTAATTCATTTGTAATGGTTTTGAACTCTGCAGCAGCGGGATAAATTCACAAAGCATTGGGTTTCTAAGAAAAATATTTAAATTGGTGACAGCGGTGAATACATAATTATGCATAGGCTAATATATCTTTCCAAAAATAGCAGTTGGATAAATACATGTAGATTTGTTTTATAAAGATGTTAACCTGACAGCGAGTGGGTGAATACATAGATATTTGATTACATCTTTTATTTGAAGAGATTAATAAAAATTAAAAAAAATAATAAATATTAAAAAAAAAAAAAAGTTTTTTTTTATTTTTATTGTTTGAAAACATGGTTTTAAAAATGTATTAAGTTTGTTAACCCCGATTACTTTGAAGAATCTGAAAGATATCGTTATTTCTATAATTTATTTGTTCTACTGTTTAATTTATATATTTCATTTAAATTTATGGATATTTGAGTGGAAAAATAAATAAATTCAAATCTTATCAAATCAAATCAAGGATCTTTAAAAATTGTATTTATTTGTTATTTCACAAGCAGTTTATCAATAAATACATTTATTTTTCATTCTGTTTCACATTCATCTGAAATGGTCGTTTTGCTTTAAAAAAAAAGAAGCTAATAGCATACACTTTAAGGGCTATATTGAAGGGGTCTACTCTCTATTTATAAGGACAGCTATTTATAAAAGACCGCTATTCATTGCGTCCCGAGTTTTGGATAGCGGTCCTTATGAATGGCGGTCCTTATGAATAGCGAAGTAAATTGTCTATGGTTTGCTCGCTATTTATAAGGGCCGCTATTTATTTTGTCACGCGTTATGGTTAGCGGTTCTTATGAAAAATGGTCCTCATGAATTGCAATCATTATGGATAGCGAGCTTGACCCGTATTGAAAGTGAACTCGTTTGTTCATACGTAATTATTTTACAGACTCTCCCGAGGACTGGGTGCCAGATTACAAACCCTTCATTACTCAGATCAGCAATGGTTCTGTATTTGTTTCATTTTGGCCCGGTACCAGTACGAAATATCCCCGGTACCATGTTTTTCTTGATGAAGTTGATGTTAAAAAAGGTAGAATTCCACACCGCTCTGCAGCATACTTTGATTCAGTAAGTATATCAAATTTAATTTAATTTAATTCAATTTATTTTCTTCTGCAACATACAAATCAAATTTTGTATGCAATATGATAATAATAAATGATGACATCGAAACAAAATTGAACTGATGGCACAATACCAAGAATTATTCATAAAGAAAGTTGCAGAAGAAGAAGGGATAAGCGATTGCTTACTTGAGGAAGTAAATATGAAAGAGTAAGGTAGAATTCGAAAATAGAAAATGATGCCATTTCTCTCACTTCCTAACTTCTTTACAAAAAGCTATATGAAGACATAAATTTCCAAAAAAAGGAATGACATTATTTGGAATGTTTGAAATTTCTTTTGAGTTAATCTTATTATTTTATTTTCTACAAGAAAATGGTTTATTTCATTAAGGATTTTGTTAAAACATGGCTCATATAATTCTGAACATATTAATATATAGTTCAAACTTAACCAACCTCTGTCAGTGGTAAATTGAATTAAAATAGTGGCAAAATGCACTTAGTACGCCGATGGCAAAAGATGTAATGAAGAAGACAAATGAAACCTAGTTCATTTAGAAACAACTTAGAACTATAGATGTCTTTGAATATCTATCAATGACGTCTTTTATTTTCACGTTCCTTCAGTTTACGTTATTACTTGCCGGAAGTTGGTCTATTCTTCATGACCTTTTTACGATTACTTTTACAGCAAAGAGATGGTATCCCTTCTGTGTATTTTAACAACGTTCCCGAGGGAATTTATATAGCATCGGTAAGTCAATGGAAAGATATATATATATATATACATATTTTTGTCTCTATCTGTACAATTTCTTCTTCGGGTTGAAAGATTTTTATTGTGGTTTAAGTTTCTTTAATTTCCTTTTTACAGAATTAGAACTTCGTCATATCAATTTAAAGGTAAGGACCAGTATTGGAAACGCCCCAATTTCAAAAAATGAATGGAAGCTCTTATTACCAATCATGTGAAAGAATATGTTTTGACTAATGCATGATGATGATAACAATTTTGCCGGGAAACCGCCTACTAATTAATATGTTTGGTAAATTAGTTTATCTATTGGTATGTGAGAGATAAACGCACGTGTCGCGCACGTGTGCGTAGTCCCATATACATCTTTCTGTGTACAGTGCTTGTAACTTAACGAAGACTGGGCCAAATTTCTTATCATTTTGATGATTCCAGAACCTTGCAGTACACACCAATACTTATATGCTAGATGATCAATCTTTTCTGATCGATTCCACAACGTTTTTGTTCACAATGCAATCGCATGACCATAACTGGTCTTTATCTTTAAATATTTCAAATAGTATATTGATTTAATGTTAACACTTTAATGTAAAAACTTTTTCATTTGATGATTGTTAACCACAATGTTTTATATGTGTTATATTGGGGCTCCTATCTCTGTTATTATCATTATATCTTTTGTTTCCTTGCTTCCAAACATATTGGTTAAATAAAAATGAGTTTTTTTAATAGAGATACAGATCACATTATGCATCATCTTTCTCTTTGAAAGGGAAATTTAGTATTTTAAATGAGATCTTTAAATTTGTTGTCATTTCCTAGGTAGGTATTGATGAAACCGTTTGTCCGGATTGTGCGTATTTCAGATCGAGAAATAACATCACTGTTCGTGGTAAGTTTTCTCTTTGAGTTATCATTATTTTTCACTTGTTTGTTTATTGTATTAAGAGTTTGAGTACCCCTGGCATTTATTTGCAACTTTAAAAGTTGTGTCATGGTCTAATGGATATTTCACTAAACCGTGGATTACTTCTAAATGTGCCACTCTCCATCCATGTGCAGTAAATGGATAACCTACTAAGAAGTCATTTACTGAATGTTCTGAGCATAGGGCAGAGGGGCTAAGTCCAGGGTAATAATAGTACTTTGTAGGCATCTTGATCATCCCATGTGATGTGTACGTGGTCATATAATTTAATTCAATTCAAATTAATTCAATTCAAATTAACATTTATTTTCTTCCATTTAATTTGACAACATATTTGACATAATGTTCAAACAATACAATTTAAACGTTGGAACATAAATATAATCTAAGAACTGTCTTGTATTACAAGGAAGAAGGCGCAAATCCCTGTAAGCATAGCTTGTATTGGGTACGCCCGAATACACAAATACAAAATATACATTATAAATAAAAGAAAGGAAGAAAGGGGTAGGCAATGAGCAGAAGATGATAGAGATCTTGGAGGAAGAGAAAGGAAGAGGCCTACAACATAGTAGCAAGGGAGAGTATGGCATTCATAAACAACATAATGGCAAGATATAGGTGAAGATGTGGAGATATTTGATTGTACCTCATCATTATTGTCATTGTTATCATTATCATAAGTTTTTTTTAAAAAATTATTCTCGTGTATGCAGCTATGCCCACTCCCGCCCCCTCAACAGCACATAGTACCCGTCCTAGAGACCCTGAGGAGACCTCAAATACATCAGGATCCCCACTCCCTTTGGCAGCGCTGACAGGAACTCTGGCTGGAATCCTTGGGGTTATTCTCATCACGGTCCTCATAACCCGCACGCGTAGAAGGAGCTCTTTACCTCCTTCCGAACAAAGTGGTGATGAGAAAGAGACTGGAGGAGATAATTTGGAAAGATCACCCATGCTTCATCGAGATAACATGCCATACGGTTAGTATACAAATAATACACAGCAGTGAGGGCATTAGTAAGAACTACTCACATAAGGCATACCTTTGGAACAGTACACGCCCGAGGCGATAGCCGAGGGTGTTTGGACTGTTTTGAAGGTACCGAGTGCATGGGGGTGATTTTACTGATGCCCGAACGAAATGATGTGTATTATTTGTTTTATAAGATTATATTTCATTTGTTTTATAAAATGATGTTTTATAACATGATTTTACTAATGACCGGTCGTTATCAAAATTTTGTGTTAGGCCAAATAATGCCTGGTCACGTGTTCGCTCTCAACCAATCATTTGATTTAGGATCCACGTCATCACCTTATAAATGGCATTATTCTACCCCGTGTTAGAACTTATGTCTGTACTGATCCCGATTTTCTATAAAGACTGAAAAAAAACACAATTCTCATTCGTAGTCTCCATACAATAAGTGTCATGATAAGCACGTGAGTCGGGAAATTATCAATTACTTCTCTGATGTTATTCAATTAATCTTTGCGATAACTCTTGATACTTTTTCATTGCAAAGTTTGAACCTGAAGATATTTACGAAATACAACCTTGTCTAGGTAGCATACCCCTTCAATTGATTTACCATGGCTTCTTTAAAGCTTATCGATATTTATAAAAAAAATCATTGAGATATTTTTAAAGCACATCAATGTTTACTCCAATATTTGTTATCGTTATTTATATCTTTCTCACGCTAAATATGATTTTGTCACTTAAGGTTGAAATATGAGCTACTCTTTGCTCACTTCTGATTTGATTCCTTAATAAGTTTATTATGTTTAATATCTTCTTCAAACTAGCTAGGCAATTCGTATGGCAAAAGGACAACGTAATTGTCCTGTTGATATGAGCTTACTAAATTCCTATTTTTGCAGATGACTGTGATTCAATAACCGGGACAGGCTACATCAACCAGTGGCCGCCACCGTTGTCTAGCAACAGCGACTACGACAACAATCTCTTTGGCATCTCGAACCCCTCCATGATCCCTCCCATCATCCATAATGAATGGGAAAAGAGCGATGGGAGACTCGCACAGGAGAGTGAGCTCTACGCCGATAAAATTGGATACCAGAGAGGGGATAGCATCAGTAAGGTAGCAGTCGATGTACATTCTTCGATGGACCCCCAAACATCATTTAAAACTGGCCTTCCTTCGATTGAGTCACCGGACTCTGGAGTAGACTCCATCTATTTTGAAGGCACCATGGAAGATGGACAAACGTTGTTCTCGTTAGCTTTGACTAATCTTGGTGAGGAGGTATAATTACGGTCGTAATTCCACAGTGATTGGAAATTATAGACACACGGGAGACTCGCGCAGGAAAGTGAGTTCTACGCCAACACCATTGGATACCAGAGAGGGGATAGCATTAGTAAGGTAGCAGTCGATGTACATTCTTCAATGGGCCCTCAAACATCATTTAAAAGTGGCCTTCCGGCTTCGATGGAGCCACCGGACTCTGGAGTAGACTCCATCTATTCTGCAGGCACCAGGGAAGATGGACCAACATTGTTTTCATTAGCTTTAATTGCTTTTTACTAATTTCGGTGAAGAAGTATATAAGAATTGTTATATTGTGCGCCTTACAACTATTGATGTACGTGGGAAATGACGGGGAGGGGGGGGGGGGGGGGAAGACCCATTTCGCGAGGTGCCTTTCAATTTTGTCTGTTTCAACCACAGTTAATCCGTCTTCTTCTAAATGCTTTTAAGTTCTCATAAGTTTAGCGCAGGTACCTGTCAGTTCCCATAGACAATAGATTTTCCCCATTCAATGAAGGATGGCTTGAGAAACAATTAACATTCAAGACAGATTGACGGTATTTAATTGTTAATATTATTGAATTGGAATATCATACTGAACATCAATTTGCTCGATTGTCTCATTGTTTTCTTTTATTGTTCAGATTGTGTTGTGGAGTACGTGCCTTCAGGGAGAGATATGTAAATATTTCAATCATAGATGACCTTTAATTACCGTTTGTTTATGAGAGGGTTAAAAATGAGTATTTTCGCAGCAATGACCACTTTTCATGCAGGGTTATTTTAGTGTAAGATTTTAAAGGACAACATCAGACTCATATTATTGTAGATCAGTAAAATCGATGTAATATTGGACGAGTTTTCCCAAAGAGCATTATTTTCTTTTTTTTTGTAAAGAAAAATTTTCGTGAACATAGCTGAAGCTTGTTGGAAATTATTTAATACTAGTTAAAGTGACGACTAATAACAACATTAGCGGTAGAGAAATTGGCAAATGTCTTCCTTCATCTTTGTAGATATAGGCTTACCTATTGAATATCTTGCAAGCTGTACTTCTAAATTTCTCGCACTATCTTCAAAACGTTTGATCGCTTCAAATATCATCACAGTAATGGGATATAGCAACGATATAATTTCCCTCGTTAATATGATACATATTGATCATGAGTCATAAAATGCACTATAATTGACAGTGAAACGAAACAGAAAGTATTTTTATTAGTAGATAAGCTTATGACTTGCATGTGTAATTAAAAAAATAAATGAAGTTGTATTGATATTACTCAGGAATAAGTGCAGGAGAGTGATAAATGTGTAATATAATAATCAATTTGTGTATTTCAAATGGAAATGTCTGTATATCATTATGTCTAAATGTTTTGTGTTGTCTGGTAAGATTGCATTTAGTTTATAGGCTATGTGTATTATAGTACAAAATAAACGTTCCCCTGTCTGTGGTTCATTGTGCGGCTCATGTTGCTAAGTAGTAACCAGTCGTGGCGATATAGTGTTTCTAAAAATAATTCACGTTGAATTCATAAACACAAAATTGAATTTGACTCTGTACATTGTATAGCTTAATCAATATTATTTATGTAGGTAACAGGTAAAATCACACGTTATAAGGGACAGCATTAACAACAAAAAATCTTACTATATGAAGCTGAAGTTGACACAAAAAGTCATTAAAAAATAACAATTATGTCATATAATTTCATGATTACTTGTGAATCTAATCATATTTTCATAGTTCTTAATCTCCTCTTCATATAGTTTAAAACTAGATGCTGCATTTAAAGTGAAAGCTAGAGATATTAAATTTGGAAACGGGTATCCATTTAATTTATTTAGTCATTTCATTTGATTTCCTTTTTTGCTACTACAAACGAAAGTTCCATGCAACATGCTTGCAGTTAGAGTGATTAAAGGATCTCCATCATTTCTTACTTTTTGTATGTATGTTTGGCAAACAAAGGGGAGAGACTTTGAGGTAATTACAAGATTAATAATTTGTTAACGATTTGCTAATATCCTAGCAAGCATAATGAATTATTGAAAGAATTATTTTTGCTCTTACTCCGTGTTCTGTTCCATTTGGTACTTGTTGAATGAAATTTCCAGTCTGTTATCTTTATATTTTTGATCTTCTTGCCAATTATCATGATCGCAAATTGTATCAAGACATCGAATTTAATCAGTATTAATTGACTAGGAATCGCAATGGAGATATAGAATGAAATGTTTAACGTAAATATACAATGTACATAATAATGTGGTAGTTATGGTTATGCATTTCCCCACTCTGCTTTTATGTGAATGATTTTATGTAAACTGAAACAATACCCTTGTAAAATGACAAAACGGAACTATTTTATACTTTTTGTCTTGCATGTCTGGCAGTCGGTGTTACAGCTATGTATTTCTATATCTCATGTAAAGTTTTCAACATTTTCATGCAGTGCATGTAAACTATGTTCTGAAATTTAAAAAAAAATTATAATTTCTGTTATACAAAAATGCTCTTGCCAATGTTTCTAATGTTACAGTTTTCATCTTTCTTTATTAATATTCATAAAAGTATATAAAATAACAACACTAACCACCTATCATGCAATAAACAATAACCAAGAAAGAAGGGATCTCTTCTCTGAATGAGTTTAGCATAATTTTACTTCCTTATACGTAGTGGATATTTCCGTCTATATCCTCTGCTATCAAGTCCGAAAAGGATTACAATAGCTATCAATAATGAAACTCATAAAGTACATTAATATTATTCTGTTGAACCAATTAATTTATTGTTTCCTTCTTCCCTTTCCTGCAATCGTGTCAATGGTTTCTGTTTGTTTTGCTCTCACTCTTGTTGATAATATTTTACAGTTGAAAACCCCCACCTAAAATCTATGTATAAATACTGCGTTCTTAATACACACAACATAATTATAGGCCTTGTTTTAATTTCTGCCTCTTCAACTAACACTCAACACATTACTACCTATTATCATATTCAACCTTCTACACAACCTCGTGATTTATTAATCTAAAAAGATCAGATCATTTAAAAAATAATTTGTGTTGGAATAACTTGATGGGAAGGAAATATGATTAGGTTTATAATAGTGAAGAAGAGCTGATTGCATACCATAAGAACTGAACAATGTTAAGACTTAAGAGAGTTGGTTGGGAAAGGAATGTGGTTACGCACGTTAAAAGGATGTTCATTTCCAAATTACAGAAAGATAGACTGACAGGTTGTATTCTGGCATGAATATTGTTCGAATAAACTTCAACAAGGACCACAGCATCAATGGACAGAAGGCCTACTGATATGTATACATGTAGGCCTACAACGTGTGTAGGCGTAATCTTTCAAACAGAAGAAAAAAAACAGGTACTCAAAGTAGTCCTTGCAGGTAAATAAATGCATCATCATTTTGAATACACAACGGAGAACATCAGAGGCGACGGGTCCTGTGGGAATTAGGGGAGACAATGGGGAGGGGCACAGTGCCCCCACACTTTTTCAAGTATCCCTGAAGTACCCCTTTTTACATAGGAAAGGGGCCCCCTTTTACTTCAGATAAGTACACCTATATAGGTGCCCGTTCCTATAAGTGCCTCTTAACCTCTGATAATTAAGTGCCCCCTTCACCTAGGATAATTGCCCCCTATTCAAATATGAGAGGTGCCCATTTAGCTTTAACAAGTGCCCTTTTCACATACAAATAAAAAATTAAAAAGTGCCCTTTTCATTTGTAACAGCTAGTGCGCTTTCCCCTTCTGATAAGTGCCTCTCTTCGTCATTGTTGAGTGCTTCTATATTTCCTGTTGACGTGACCAGCCGTCCTGCCCGCTCGCGAGCTCTAGCTCTGTTCCGAGTTCGCAGTCTGCCTGCCAAAAAAGTAAAACCCATCCATGTCTGCGCGCTGCGGCAAGACTACATTTGTTGTGGTGTCAAAGATCTTATTTCGATTGGGAAGGTCTCCTTCCGAGATAAAATGGATATCTTTGCCGATCTCCCAACACATGGTAAGCATTTCTGGCCATTTTGTATCAATATTTTCTTTTTATGTGTGTAAATCATCTGTAATATGTCTACTTATTTGAACCTGAAGTGAAGGCTGAACATTTTTGCATTTCAGTCCCACACGTTATTTTTAGCGTAGGCCTACTCATGGTTAGCCTGCTGATGTGTTTTTAAATTAATAATAATAGGCCCTATAGACTACATGATGTGTCTTATTGTGAGTATTTGTGGGGTGATATATGTGGAGTTTGTAGACCCAAATAGCTTTTGGAACCTTGACCACAGGGGCATAGCCAGGGGGGGGGATGAGTTGCCCCCCCCCCCCAAAAAAAAAAAAAAAAACGTCGGCCAAAAACTTAAAAGAAGAAAAAAAAGTAAGACTAAGACAGTAAGAGGAGGACGTCTAGAGTCTAGATCTATCTAAGTTCTATGTGGGGGGAAACTGAATTCAGAAAAAGATTATAAGAGTCGAGAACGATACAACGAATTGTCTTCTTTCTCTAATAATTTAATGAAACGTCAAAGCTTCGCGCGGGGGGGGGGGGGGGGGGGGGAACAACTGAATTCAGAATCAGACAAGGATTAAGAGTCGAGAAGGGTACAACGAATCATCTTCTTTCTCTTATAATTTAATGAAACGTCAAAGCTTTGCGTGGGAGGGGGAGGGGGTAATAGAATTCAGACAAGGATTAAGAGTCAAGAACGGTACAATGAATCGTCTTCTTTCTCTAATAATTTAATGAAACATCAGCCTTCCGAGCGGGAGGGGGGAAACTGAATTCAGACGAGAATTAAGAGTCGAGAATGGTACAACGAATTGTCTTCTTTCTCTAATAATTTAATATAACGTGCCCCCTCCCTGCACCCATCCACGCTTCGCTCACTACCGCGCCCACCCTAAAATTGAATCCTAGCTACACGCTTGCTTGACCATGGTCCACTATCACACATTCCCACACCCTGTGAACCATGGAAACTATCTTCACTGACACTGTTCAAACTTCAATTTCATTTTCACTGACGGAATCTTTTTCGATTCATGTAAACAAACAACACATTCTGAAAATGGAATTAGTGGTCAAAATTATGAAAGCTTTGCACATGTATGTATGAATGTATACATGTATGTATGTTGATGTTGAACGGACATGCGATCTACATTACAAAAGGGTTGACCTCTCTGATATAGATGAGGTTAGCAGGGTTAGTGATATTTCGGGGTAGGAAAACGGCAGATTTCGCATTGCTAGTTTGATGTTGACTGTATGAAACTAGTGATGAGTTTCTATACAAATCTGCGGGTATTGTGGAGTGTTGGTGCATCCAAAGTTTAGAAACTGTGTCTGCTGAATTAATGACTTTAAATAATAAAGGTCATTCATTTTCCTTTTCAATTTCAGGTCATAAGGATGAAGCTAATCTAAGTAAACCCAATGTGACAGATGTTAAGGTATCTGCAAATACCCAAGTGGACAAGAAAAAAGAAGATGCTAATTCATTATACCAAGATGAAGTAAGACAAGAAGGAGGAGAAGAAGAGACTGGAAATCTAAAGAGAAAATCTGTCGATGAGCAAGGAGACGAAGTACCTGCAAAACGATTGGCTACAGGTAAACCTTTTCTTTTTATTGTTTTTGTTTTAGTCTAGTAAAAGTGATTCCGGGGGGGGGGGGGGGGGCATTCAGAAACTATCCTGTGATCTGTGTGCTGGTCTGTGCTGGTAAAAAGTTTTGGTACACCTTGGATTCTGAGATCTGAGCTCTTACTTTAATTTTTATTTCCCACAAAATAAGCTTTCCATGGCTATCAAATTCATAGCAACACAATTAGATTTAAAGATAATCTATACAGCTACAGTACAATGTATTTCTTGTCATGCTGTATTCAAATATGAGACCATTTTATTATTATTATTATGATTTATTTGACCAATCGGATAAGTATAACAATATGATAATACATAAAAAATTTCATAATATTAGGAAAGGTAGAGGGGATAGAGAGAAGAGAAGAGAAGAGCAGTCCTTTTCAGGGGCCATGTTTTCTATAAATGTTATTCTTCCAAACCGACACATAAGTATGAGATAATGAGAGAGGTCACAAATTATTTATCTTTATACCTCACTTATACCAATGAGACTGACCCCAGCCTAGATTGTGAGATACAAAATGATGCTAATAATAGTAATGATGATGATGATACTACTACTTCTACTACTTCTACCTCAATTATACCAACCAGACTGATCCCAGCCTGACTATGGACTGAACAGAAAAATACATTATCCATAATTGCGTTTAAAAAATCGGTCGTTGAGGAGTCTGTTTGGTGGTGTGACGGAATTATTACCCGAACTAAACCTTCTATGTAATGTGGTGTCATGTTTAATCGTTTGCAGGAATGTACAGTTTACATGGCTACTATGCAGAAAGAAAAGGAGAGAGGAATGAAATGCAGGATAAGCATGTCATCCTCAATGACTTCACACCACAATTCTCGAACCTTCCTTCTACTGTGTAAGTTGACTACAGAATTCTAGTTCTGGGCCCAATTCACAAAACTTGTCATCAGTGACAATTTATAGTTTTCGTTATGAGCTAGTAAAATCCTTGGTTCTGATTGGTTATTAGCAGATTTGTCACCGATTTTTGTCATTTGTCATTGAAAAAAGACTTGAAGAAAAGTTCTTGGATGACCATGAAATCAGGATATTTTGCTTTCCTAAATACGTCATCTAAAAAGTACTATTGTGCAAATAATTAGATGGTGCATATGTAAATTTATGTCCTTCTACTCTGCATTGATAAGGAAAAATCAATGTTAATTTGATATGAAAGTAATAGAGATTATGGTTGAATGGCTTTTGTTCCCTTGGAAGTCGTGCTGAATCAGCCCGTGGAATATATCCTAGTAATCCACTCAAAGCCGTTCAATATCATATAACCATTGACTGCCAAACATTTTGTTATCCGTGTTAATATCTTTCAGATTCTAATGACAAAGTTTTTGTCCTCAAACAAAATTTCTCAACAGTTCTCGCTTGTCTTTTTACGCAGTCTACGATGGACACAGTGGGGACAAGGCTTCAAAACACGCAGCAAAGATGCTCCACAAGCACATCCTTGACAGATTCCCAAAGACGGAGACCACGAACCGTGACAAAGAGATAAAGAAGTGCCTCATCGAGACGTTCAGGGTCACCGATGAAGAGTTTCTCAAACAAGCTTCAGCCAGGTGAGAGGAGAAGCAACAATATATATATATGAGAGAAGATTTGAGGTTATGCATCAGAGATAATAATTGAAATTGATACTAGACAAAGTAAATAATGCCAAATATATATTTCCTTACTACATAGCCGATTTTAGTCTTTTAGTCATTGGTTATTTTCGACCAGTATAGCCTAATCATGCCCACAAGATTGTGTCCAAAATGAAAATACACAGAATGATCATTTTTAATCTTGAGCCAGTTTAGAGTTGGTTTGGCGTATCAGGTGTGGAACTTGTAACCTAGGAAAAATTATTTTTACAAAACGACTGCTCATACTAGAAAAAAATTGACTTCTTATATGATTTTACAGTTTTTCATACAGCTTAACAATGAATTTTGACAGACTGAATGGGGCGAAAGGCAGTTCATTTGCTTTTGGTATGGATTTAAAGCCACACTGTACTAAAAGCATCCCCTGTAGTGCTATCTCAGGTCAGCTGTAACAGTATGGTACGTAATTTGATGCACTGTTGGGTTTCGCATTGAGTCCTCTGTCTTCAAAGCAGCATGCAGGACATCAGTTATTGGGTTGTGCACTTGTGGCGAGTTGACCTCGAGATGGCGCTGTGCAATAAATAGTATGCTAAGGCAGAGAGTTCATTAGTTCACTATTGCTTTATAGGCACACTGTCCTACTTGTAGCTACTTGCTCCCTCTATATAGAAAACTTCCCCAATCGGTGCCTGTTGGTCCCCCATGATCCTCTTTTTCTTATGTTAAATGAGAGCTGAGTTAATGAGATAGCCACCTGTCACAGTGACATCGCTGGCTCGCTTGGTAGTCTAATCCCTTCTGGCTGAAGTAGTAAAGCCTGCCTTTAAAAAAAAAAATTATATCTTTTTTGGTTTTCCTCAGCAAGCCTGTATGGAAGGATGGATCTACAGCAGTCTGTGTTCTGGTGGTGGATAACACTCTCTACATAGCCAACCTTGGTGATAGTAAGGTTCTCTGACAGATTATATCTGATTATATTCCACATTAAGAATCTTGCTCTACATTTGTTAAAAGTAAATCACGTGCTGAAAGATAGTTCGCCCATCATTGATGGGAGAAGAAAAGTTTTTTACACTGTGTACTATCTTCAGTGAAAGTGCGTTGCACTGTGAAGATAGTTTGTAGATACTATGTAGATACTATCTACACAGTGCAACGCACTTTCACTGAACATTGTATACGTTGCGTATACATAAGTACTGCATGCACTGTACATATCGTACACCGTTTGCTAGCTGTTAATTGATGACTTGTTTCTCTTTAAAATGATGGAAGAAGTGAAATGTTTCCAATGTGGAATATAAAGCAAATAATCACCTTTTGGTTTCAGGCAATGGCAAACTATCACTTCCTCGTCGATCAGAATGTATACGCTATCTTTCCTCAGCTTTGTTTTGTAAAAGATAGCTACATCCAGATTGCCTCGGAAGTGATAGTTTATCCCATCACCTTCACCAACGGTAAATATTTGCTTAATAACACTTGCCATGTAGCCACCTAAGGGATGGTAAGATTCACTGCAAGTTAAAATATGACTAGTCAAATTTAGATGACACTGTGCATAGCAAATTTTATGGATACCGGTAGTATGATCCACTGCAAAATGATTGTGACTACAGGTAGTCAAATATTGATAACGTCTGTACATAGCCAATCTTAGGGATAGTAATATACTCTGCAGCATATTGCAGCTATATGACTAGTGAGATATTGATAACACTCTATACATAACCAAATTTAGGCATAGAAAGATTTACCTCACCATAGTATAGGACTAGTCAAATATTGATAATATACTCTGTACATAGCCAAACTTCAGGACAGGAAAATTCTCTGCAATATGACTAGTCAATATCGACAACACTAACTGGATAGAAGAAACTTAGGGAAAGTAAGATTCACAACATTCCTGTCCATCTTCTTATTCTTCTATTTCAACTTCTTCTTCTCCTTCCGTGTAGGCGTTCCTTTGTCGCTACAACCCTGAGACTCAAAAGCATCAGTTCCTACCACTTTCGAAGGACCACACCCCGACCGATTACGATGAGAGAATGAGGATTCAGAAGGCTGGTAGCAATGTGAGGTACAGTACTTTTATAAGGTGTGGTCAAGATATGAATAGGTGGTGAAGATGCTACTAGGCTGTGGTCATTTACTCAGGATGTAGTCATCACTTTTTTGTTACTCCAAAAATCTTGAACATGCAAATTTATTACCTTTTGGGCCTAATATTTTAAGGGGGTATATCTTGGGGTTACGTATGTTGGTTAGAAGTTAAAAGGATGGGCTCCAACCCATGACCTATGCATCTCCAGTTGAGGGTTAAAGCCTGTCTGTACTAGTTTGGCCAGGAGGGATTATACCTCACTGCATGGTCACTGACGGGTGGTTATCTCATCAAATCAGCTCTCAATTAACATAATAAAAAGGGAACCATGGGGGACCAATGGTCACTGATTAGGCATTGTTTGCTATATAGAGGGCACAAGTAGATAGTAGTGCGGTGGGGCTTTAAAAGGATGTGCATCTCCAGTCAAGGGTATTAAACCATTCAACTATTACACTTCTGTATTTATTTTTATATACTTGCAGGAATGGAAGGGTTATGGGCATCTTGGAGGTCTCACGGTCAATCGGTGATGGACGCTTCAAGCGCTCGGGGGTCATCTGCACGCCGGACATCAAGAAATGCCAACTGGGAGACAACGACCGCTACATCCTCCTCTCCTGTGATGGATTATGGGAAGGCTTCGAAGCCGACGCTGTTATGCAGTTCACAAATGATATTCTAGATGTGAGTTAGAGAATTCATTAGGTTTTCTTGAGTATCATTTTCTTTGACCATGGTATCCAAAGAAGGTAGAGGTATTGGACTGTATCCGTAAAAAATAGCATTTGCTTAGAAGTTTAAGCTCCCTAGCAAAAGCTTATGCCCACCTTAATGCTGAAGCATGCAGTTCACCAACGATATTCTAGATGTGAGTTAGAGAGCTCAATAGTTATTCTCCAATATAATTTCTTTTGATAAATATATCCATAGAAGGCAGAGGTATAGGACTATATCTGTACAAATTGGCATTTGCTTAGAAGCTTAAGCTACCTAACAAAAGCTTATGCCCACCCTTTTGTTCTTAAATTTAAACAGTGTGCATCTTTAAACAATTTTAACCATAATCTAAAACTTCACCTGATGCAATAAATTTGAAATTTGTATGTGTAATTACCATTGTATTATTGTATTTTCTTTGTCCCTCTTTTGTTTTTTGTGTGTACATTTTTAGGATCATCTACCTTTAAGTTTTTGTAATTTTTGTTTAATCCAACCACTTCGTAATTTCGATTTTATTGGTTTATCTGTGTTTGCAATAAATATTTTATTGTATTCTTTGCCTTTGTATGTTTTTATGAAAGTGGTGAATACATTAAATTCAATTCATTCAATTCTTTTCGTTTTTGTGCAGGGAGAAAAGGTCAAGCAGTCAGAAGGAAAGTCTAAGGATGATGTGTTGTTTGAGACAGCATGTAACAGACTGGCTTCGGAGGCTATACGAAGAGGGAGTTCAGACAATATAACAGTCATCTTGGTGAACATTAAGAAAAGCTAGGGGCAAATACAGGAGTTTTATTGACAATGATTTCATTTCCTTATTAAGACGACTAGTGGGAGACTGGCTCCGGAGGCTGTTCAAAGAGCTATAACAGTCATCATGGTGAACATCAAGAAAAGCTAGGGGCAAGCACAGGAGTGTTATTGGCAATTGTTTCATTGCCTCATTAAAACACCTTTGAAGAGACTGGTTCTGAAGGCTATAAGGAGAAGAAGTTCAGAGGACACAACAGTCACCATGGTTAACATTATGAAAAGCAAGGGGCAAGTACAGGAGTATTATCAACAATATTTCATTGCCTTATTAAAGCAACTTTTAAGAGACTGGCTTCGCAGGCTATTAGGAGAGGAAGTTCAGTCAACATAATGGTTATCCATGGGCGGTATTCTGATTACGGTACCATTTTATCTCTAAACTATTTGTATCTTGATAAAATGATTAGTATTCTGAGACCACTTTTTATCTCAGGCTTTAAAATCTTTCATTTTAACTCAATCTCTTGTGTGCCTATTACATTGATATGCGTAATCCGTGCAGTTTATTTTACATGAAAGATGAAAGAAAAGTCAAAATAGGGTAGGAGCTATTTTATCTCTCGGATGGACTTTCGGTGAAACATTTGTTTTAAAGTATGCTGCTTGTCGTGTGATCAAAATGTTTAAAAAACACTGAGTACAGACTATATTTCTCAAGCAACATTCTCATTTCTTGTCATGGGACAAGTCAGATGTCACTACATGTGAGATTTGGAGCCGATTTAACCTTTCCTCTGGCTAGATGGCTTGAAATAAGCCATTTAAAAAATAATAATAACACTACTTAAAGACATGAATATGTTGTATTTGTGAATGTTCAAGTCACATGCTGTTTCCAAATTTTCTCTGATTCCAAGTGGATTGTATAATGTGTGGTGGCCTTTAACTTCATCAGAAAACATGGTCTGAACATCAGACTACAGATATCTGGCACATGTGTCTTTTGATACATGTGGAACAACATGATGATGACATATTTAAAAATTTTCTTCTCTGTTTTACTACCAGCACTTAATAACATCTTTCAATTTTGCCTTTAAAAAGTTCAAGACTTTGCTGTCTTGTTTGATGCAAATTCTTTATGTCATTTCTTTCATGGAATTCTTGTGAAAACATAATTTGGATTTTGAAGCACCCTCTAAAGTCAGTGCCAGTCATTCAAGCCTACCACCTGTGCTTTTTAATCAAAATGGATTATAAATATTAGAAAATAGCATTTTGATTGACAGCCACAGACCCCCCTGTTCTGGATGGAAGAGTCAAAATTTGTTTCATTTGTAAAGAATTCAACCTTACATGACCTGAGATATATGTATATTTGTTTCCCAAGAAAATGTGAATAAACAACAGTTGTTTCTTAAGCTTCGTATATGCCCTTTTTCTATTTGACATACCTTGTTGTATAGATGGGGGTGAAACTGTGTTTGAAGTGAAGAGGGAAACAGAAGTTGCTGGAAAAAACAAAATCATTTGTAAGCTATAAGGATATTTGATTTGAGTTTTTCTCTCTATACCTGAGATATACTCGCAAGTGCAAGACTGAAAGCGTAAGTATGCCTTTATTCCGGGGGGGGGGGGGGGGGGGGGGGGGGATGCTCAGATTTGGTTTGGACTTGCATTGAACAATCAACCCATTATTAGGGGTAATTTGGGGTGATTTTTCTCGAAATAAGACCCATTTTTCACAATTTTCAGGTGTTAATTTTGGAAATTTAGAAAAAAACGGACCCAACTTAATGGTATTTTTGTGGGACCCATGTTTAGGGATTTTTGTGTGAAAAAGTGACCTATTAGAGCGGCACACCCCAATTTGCCGTAATATTTGAGTACCCCCCCCCCCCCCCCCCCCCCATCATTTTTTTTTCTCCCTATGAGGATTTTTAGAAAGATAATCGGGATGGAGTCGTACATTTATTTATGAGCAAGTTTTAGGTATTTGGTTGTTCTGTGTCCACTACATTACAAAAAGTTCTGCAATTTAATTTTGAGCATTAATATCTCTCTTGTTACTAAATTATCATATTTGACAAAGCCTGTTTATTCCACTTTACAAGATTTATCCATTTGTAATGATTATGTAATTGCACAATGCATAGTTATTGTTTCAAAACACCATCCTCCAAACAAATGAAGAATTCACTATTGACAATATATTATATAACACGCTTGGGGCCCATATTTAGGCTTACTGCACATTCCATGATCAAATAGGGTCATCCATTGAAAAAGGAAAAACGGGCTTTTCAACGATACCAACGTAATTATGGTAATATCCTATCAAAAGAGTTATGAACGGTTTAACTTGATTTGCAGAACTTTTTCTGTGGTGTTTATCTTGGAATAGTAAGCATCAAGTAACATTGAAAGTCTCAATTTTTGGTCATTTCTTTTGTCTAATCCAAACTCTGCTAGAGCTGTCTACTTAATTCATCCATCAGGTCTACTAAATTTATTGGTTTTGTCCGTGATGGATGGGACAAAATACCTTCGACTTGCCCTAATAGTGCATGCTAGGTTTGTTTTAATAAGTGGTTGTTTGCTCATGCGTGTGTGCGTGCTTGGGGTGGATGAGTGGGTGGGTACCAAAGACAATCTAAAGAACTTTACCTTCATTTTGTCGACTACATGCAAAACGAGGATCCTGTAAAATTGTCTGAAATTTCCACTCCCTTACTCAAAATTCATGATCACACAATCATTACAAATGGGGGATCATTGTAAATAGGAATAAACGGGCTTTTCAATACCAACACCAAGTACTATGATATACTTACAAGAGAGACATCAACTTTAGAGCCTAGCTGAATTGCAGAACTTTTTCTGAGGATTATATATCTTGGAATACTTAGCAGAAGTAATGTGGAAATTGTATATTTTGTGTTATGTTTGTCTGATCCCAACTCTGCCTAAGCTGTCGACTTCATTCATCTACTACCGGTTAATTTACTGGTGTTGTGGTGGTTGCGACGAAATACCATTGACTTGATTTTATAGTGCATGCATAACTAAGTTTGTCTTTAAAAATGTGGGTGTATGAGTGTTTGTGTGTCGACTACATGTACTTGCAAAACGAGGATCCTGCAAAAATGTTTGAAATTTGAGGCCCTTTCATATAAGGGTACGTTTAGTTAGGCGCCCTATTTACACAGAAAATGAAGGTCCTCGGTTAGGCGGTAAATTTCCAGATCGTCCTCGGGATGTTATATTAAGACTACAATTTAAAAATGTGTCTCTTCGAACTTGTAATAACAAAATGAAGTGTACATATGAGTCCCTTGGTTTACATCGGAAATCCATTAATGTCTGTTTATGAACGTGATTGATTGTTATATTCATTAGAAATGTAATTCATACACATCTGGGCAGCGTTTCACAAAACTGTCGTAAGTACAAAATCACAGACTTCCCGTTGAAAAGTGTGTATTACAATTTACATGTGTTTCAATGGAATGTTTTGGAATTTGTCTTCAGGACGTTTTCGTGAAACGATGCCTTGTTAACAAAGTGAATCCACAGAATCAAGCCGACACCTGATTTGTTTTTTATCATTGTAAAATTTTATTATAACATTTGTACACAATATAAAATTACATCAAAAGAAACACAATGTCATGTGAGCAAAATTAAGATGAAAACTGAACCTTGCCAACTTACTGTCTTGAAAAATCGGCAAGTGTCTTCAAATAATGCAAGTCGGTTGAATTAGTTCACTGATTAATGGAGTGTTAAGTGGCAATGTCTTTATCTTCAACAAATCACTTATTTCTGAAACTAAATATTAAACCTAAATCAGGCCTAAAATAAACAGGTTGAGTTCTGGTCGAGATCAAAAATAATTTGTAAGCTTTCGCATTTTATAATGTCAGTTTGGAAGAACATCATAGAAACATACCTCCTGAAAAAGTATGCATCCATGAAATCGCTTTACCTGGTTTTACCAGATACTCAACTTGATTTGTTATTGTATTTCATAACTATTTTCATTTCAGTTATTCATCTAGCTAAAGTAATTTGTGAAGAATGGATACATTGAAAACTTTGAACTACATGTAGTCTTAATTATCTTGATACAAGATCTTGATCTAGTCGTTCAAGCAATAGGCTTACTGTTATAAATTAAATGTAGAAATGAGAGAGAGAGATTTTGTTTGTCTGCCTTTGAATGAACTATGTATAACCTGAAGTTTTTTTGTTGGAAGATTCCATGATCATCATTATTATGGGGGTAATAACACAATATAAATATGGTTAGTTTCAAATGAATTGCTAACATCTGGAATGATTTCTTATGTCCAATACACATACAAAGGAAGACTAAAGACTCGATTGCTATAATTGTTGTATACACACTTGTACATCCAGTTTACACATCAACCCTTTACCAGCTTTCTGTAACTGATGTAGCAAATAAGGATTACCATAGTCAACTGTTGACACACATACAGTGTATTATGTTTCTAAACATGGCATTCTAGGGTTTTGATCCATAGTGATTAAAGACATGATTTTAAGAAAGGAAGAGTGTTACTTCCTTCTTTCTTTCATACTGGCCAATTCATAGGAAAAAGGTAATCCCATTTTGAAAGCAACATGACATGTGAGTGACTCTTATCCACCATGGTTTCTACTCCTACACTCAAAATTAACCTTGAAAATATATCTCTCTCGGCCATAAATAATATCACACTTTACTATCGCCACACTTAAAAAGTCTAGAATCAAGGAAATCAAAGAGACACTATTCTCTCGGACTTATGTATGCATATAAAAATGTAGACAAGGATTTAAATGACTATAATATCGAAGGCATTGTGGAGATATTTTCAGAGGTATATGACATGTCCAGTATAAATGCGCGTCCTAAAATAGTAAATTACTTACAACTAAGTTCTAAAAATATCCATGAAAATATGTACATACAATATCACTTTAATAACTACATACATGTATACAACAGTAGTACAGCCATATAAAGTCCAACAAGTACTTTGTTCACATAAAAAAAACTATATTATACCCTGCATTGTCTCTGCGTCAATTTTGCAGAGATTTATGTCTGTCGCACCCGAGACGTCGTTCCAATTGTGCTCCATGTATTACCTACATCGAGCTTGTGAGGGCAGTTTGCCCATACACCAGAAGTGTAAAGCAGTACATACGGTGGACTGTTCATTTTTACAGAACACTCTTTGGATAAAAGTGCTCTCGTAAGGAGCGTCAAAGACCACAGCGGTCGCTGACGGAGTCCTACGATAGCACAAGAACGCCTCGTGTGCAACAGGCTTTTAAAACATGGAACCATTTGTAAATTAAAGCTGTTATTATCGCACATTAATTTATTTAAAAAAAAACTATAAACTGCCTCAGTGAAGACGGAGAAGAGATAGAATGAACAGGAATCAAGTCTTAAGGGCCTATAGCTAGCCCCCTCCTACGAGACGCCCACTTCTATAAACAGCTTTTTGAGAAAGAGCGGCATGTTTGGATGGTGATTTTGATTTAACCAAAGAGGCTTGTGGCGAACTCGCCCGGTATCCCTTTGATTTAATGTGAATCCTCACATTCATGTTATTTAGGATCTAGGTCTATTAGAAATTTCATTAGCATTCTCTCTCTGCAGATATGACGCAGCGTATAAATTATCACTAAATTCAACATCTCATCAATTTACTACCTATGTTTAATCCTGGTTTCATGATACCTGTACATTAATAACACAACTAATAGAAATAGATTTTTAAAAATAAAAAACTATCAACATTTCCCAACATGAGTCAATCAGAACTCCTCCAGCAGTGTTCTCACATTAGCCAATCAAAGTTCTCATTAGATTAACCGACAGGTTTTAATTAAAGATAATAGCATGAACCTGATCGGCTAAAACTGGGGACATAATGTGCCTAAGTGTGCGAATAACTTCTGACATCGGGATTTAACTACTTTCAAGATCTTGGTGCTATGGAAGCTGCATTTTTTTTTAAAGGAAACCAAAACCTTCATACTAAGTTACTTTTATTGTAAAGTTTAAAAGATTTGAATAGAATCAGTGAAAATTTGGACAAAATCGGGCAAGGAATAAGAAAGTTAGACCATTTTGAAATGACTAGTCACTAGAGGGCGGTATTCAATTTGATGACATCATCTGTGAACAACTCTCCATGCCTTTTGTACATAAAATTTCACAATTTTTTTGTTTTCTTCGTATTTATTTGTGTTCTTGATCCGACTTCATAACATGTGAAATAGAATATCATTTTGCATTCTATATCTTGCTTTCAGGGGAGTACATTATCTCAATCACAAGAAAGAAGGAAAAACATGAAATTTGATGTACAAAAGGCATGAAGAGTTGTTCACCGCC